AAAGAAAGAAAGAATGAATGAATGAATGAAAAAATAAAAGCATAAAACTAAAAAAGATCAGTACTGTAAAGAAAGAAAGAAAGAAAGAAAGAAAGAAAGAAAGAAAGAAAGAATGAATGAATGAATGAAAAAATAAAAGCATAAAACTAAAAAAGATCAGTACTGTAAAGAAAGAAAGAAAGAAAGAAAGAAAGAAAGAAAGAAGCATAAATCTAAAAAAATTCAGTACTGTAAAGAAAGAAAGAAAGAAAGAAAGAAAGAAAGAAAGAAAGAAAGAAAGAATGAATGAATGAATGAAAAAATAAAAGCATAAAACTAAAAAAGATCAGTTCTGTAAAGAAAGAAAGAAAGAAAGAAAGAAAGAAAGAAAGAATGAATGAATGAAAAAAATAAAAGCATAAAACTAAAAAAGATCAGAACTGTAAAGAAAGAAAGAAAGAAAGAAAGAAAGAAAGAAAGAAAGAAAGAAAGAAAGAAAGAAAGAATGAATGAATGAATGAAAAAATAAAAGCATAAATCTAAAAAAGATCAGTACTGTAGAGAAAAGAAAGAAAGAAAAGAAAGAAAGAAAAAAGAAAAGAAAGAAAAAGAATGAATGAAAAAATAAAAGCATAAATCTAAAAAAAGATCAGAACTGTAAAGAAAGAAAGAAAAAGAAAGAAAGAAAGAAATAAAGAAAGAAAGAAAAAGAATGAATGAATGAATGAAAAATAAAAGCATAAAACTAAAAAGATCAGAACTGTAAAAGAAAGAAATGAAAGAAAGAAAGAAAGAAAGAAAAAAAGAAAAGAAAGAAAGAATGAATGAATGAAAAAATAAAAGCATAAATCTAAAAAAAGATCAGTACTGTAAAGAAAGAAAAGAAAAGAAAGAAAGAAAGAAAGAAAGAAAGAAAGAAAGAATGAAGAATGAATGAATAAAAAAAAAATAAAAAGAAAAAAAAAAAAAGAAAAAAGAACAGAAAAAGAAAAAAAGAAAGAAAGAAAGAAAGAAAGAAAGAAAGAAAGAAAGAATGAATGAATGAATGAAAAAATAAAAGCATAAATCTAAAAAAGATCAGTACTGTAAAGAAAGAAAGAAAGAAAGAAAGAAAGAAAGAATGAAAGAAAGAATGAATGAAAAAATAAAAGCATAAATCTAAAAAAGATCAGTACTGTAAAGAAAGAAAAGAAAGAAAGAAAGAAAAGAAAGAAAAAAATGAATGAATGAATGAAAAAATAAAAGCATAAATCTAAAAAAGATCAGTAAGAAAAGAAAGAAAGAAAAATGAAAAGAAAGCATAAATCTAAAAAAGAAAGAAAGAAAGAAAGAAATGAATGAAAATGAATGTAAAAATAAAAGCATAAAACTAAAAAATATCAGTACTGTAAAGGAAAGAAAAGAAAAAATAAAAGAAAGAAAAAAAGAAAGAAAGAAAGAAAGAAAAGAATGAATGAATGAAAAAAATAAAAGCATAAAACTAAAAAAGATCAGTACTAAAGAAAAAAAGAAAGAAAGAAAGAAAGAAAGAAAAGAAAGAATGAATGAATGAAAAAATAAAAAGCATAAAAAACTAAAAAAAGATCAGAACTGTAAAGAAAGAAAAAGAAAGAAAGAAAGAAAGAAAAGAAAAAGAAAGAAAGAAAAAAAAGAAAATGAATGAAATGAATGAATGAAAGAGAAAAAAAATAAAAGCATAAATCTAAAAAAGATCAGTACTGTAAAGAAAGAAAGAAAGAAAGAAAGAAAGAAAGTAAAGAAAGAAAGAAAGAATGAATGAATGAAAAAAATAAAAGCATAAAACTAAAAAAGATCAGAACTGTAAAGAAAGAAAGAAAGAAAGAAAGAAAGAAAGAAAGAAAGAATGAATGAATGAATGAAAAAATAAAAGCATAAATCTAAAAAAGATCAGTACTGTAAAGAAAGAAAGAAAGAAAGAAAGAAAGAAAGAATGAATGAAAAAATAAAAGCATAAATCTAAAAAAGATCATTACTGTAAAGAAAAAAAAGAAAGAAAGAAAGAAAGAAAGAAAGAAAGAAAAAAAAAGAAAGAAGAAAATGAAAAAGCAATGAAAAAGCATAAAAAAAAATCAGTACTGTAAAAAAAGAAAAGAAAGAAAGAAAGAAAGAAAAGAATGAATGAATGAAAAAAAAAAAGCATAAAACTAAAAAAGATCAGAACTGTAAAGAAAGAAAGAAAGAAAGAAAGAAAGAAAGAAAGAAAAAATGAATGAATGTAAAAAAAAAGAAAAAAGCATAAAATCTAAAAAAGATCAGTACTGTAAAAAAGAAAAAGAAAGAAAGAAAGAAAGAAAGAAAAGAAAGAAAAAAAAAAAATAAAAGCATAAAACTAAAAAAAGATCAGAACTGTAAAGAAAGAAAAAAGAAGAATGAATGAATGAATGAATGAATGAATGAAAAAAAATAAAAGCATAAAAAGAAAAAAAAGAAGACTGAAAAAGAAAGAAAGAAAAAAAAAATGAATGAATGAAAAATAAAAACATAAAAGAAAAAAAAGATGAAGTACTGAAAAAAAGAATGAAAAAAAAGAAAAAGAAAGAAAGAAAGAAAGAAAGAATGAATGAATGAATGAATGAATGAATGAAAAAATAAAAGCATAAATCTAAAAAAGATCAGTACTGTAAAGAAAGAAAGAAAGAAAGAAAGAATGAATGAATGAATGAAAAAAATAAAAGCATAAAACTAAAAAATATCAGTACTGTAAGGAAAGAAAGAATGAATGAATGAATGAATGAATGAATGAATGAATGAAAAAGATAAAAGCAGAAAACAACTAAAAAAGATCGGTGCTATAAAGAAAGTATGAAAGAAAAAAAAAGGAATGAAAGAAAAAAAAAGAAAAATGAAAGAAAGAAAAAGGCAGAAAACTAAAAAAAAAAAAAAAAAAGAGAATAATTTCTGTAACGAAATGCCTTCATGCCTATTTCTACGCTTAGGCGTTTATCTATTAAAATCTTTCTTAATACCGCAGGTATAATGGCTGTTTCATGTTGAAACGCTTGGAAAGCTTCAGACATCTTTCTTTAAATCTTTCAAATTTTCACTAAATGACAGCATTCAAAAAAAAAAAAATAAGATGTCCCAACAAACCAAATTGGAATTTCTAGTCGTGAACGATGGAATTATATTCTTGATAATAAAAATGACAACAATTCAAACATTTCAGCTATTTTAAATTTACCATCTATAAATATCTTCCTCGCAGAGTCAATGAAAGATTAATGGCGATGCGACACAAATAGTTCTCTATATAGTTGAATACGAATCAATGATAAAGTTAGTATCGATAAATTCAGGAAGATACGGGTGATATTAACATAGTCTGCGTTATGGGGAAATGTTTCCTCGTCTCTGTTGCCTCGGTCACAGTGTTTCTGTCATTGAATTATCCTATTCTCTTCAGTTCTTTGTCATATTTAGTAACTTCTGTATTCTCAAACGAACAAGTTATGAAGTCTACCCTACTTAAATTCTTTCTAATGATACCGATTTTTTTTGTCTTTTCTTTTTTTGAAGCCCATTACCTAAAACAAAAATATCATTTGTATTACTACCTCACAAGATGGCCGAAGAATTGAAAATGTTATCAAAATATCTATTGCTATAATCAGATCATGCATTTACAGTAGCCAGAGCAAAATTGGCTCTTCTTAAAGTTGCAGCAATTCTATTTTCCGTTAATACAGAGTGAAAAGAGTAAATTATCACCATTTTCTATTTTTGATTTCGCACATGCGCGTTGTTTGTTTGCTTGCTTCTTTGTTTTAAAGCATATCAACTTCAATATGTTATTTAATGCCGATAACATTTTTGGAATGTTTCCTATGAATAGAATATGTATTAATATTTTTTTCCAAAATATATCGCTGGTATTTTTACTATAAAAATCTATTTTTATACTTTCATAGGGTTTTGACGCCAGTTTGAGGGTTAACTATTTGCCCATAGCTGGGGCCCCAACAGGTGATTTCACTCTCCACAAAATCTTTCCCGATCAGAGACCTTGCTGCCGGATGTAATTTATCGTCATACCCAGGTCGCAAAAAATACCATTACGAGACTCATTTTTGATTGACGATATCAAGCAATACATGTGCAGGATTTTTTTTAAAGTCAAGGAAAACGTTGCCCTGGGTTAGTACCACTCTCTAAGCATGAACAGCATGTACCCAGAAAGAATGCAACCAGCTATTTAAAGCCACAATGCTCCTTTGGGGGTAGTTTGTCCGCGTTGATTATCATCCGGAGCCCAACTTTCATCAAATTCTTAGGACCCGAATGATAACCAGGGTTATAATGATAGGTATTACGACCTCAAAAGATGGCCGAAGAATTGAAAATGTTATTGAACTATCTATTGCTATAATCAGAGCATGTATTTACAGTAGCCAGGGAAAAAATACTCCTTCTTAAAGTTGCAGTAATTCTATTTTCTGTTAACACAGAGTGAAAAGGGTAAATTGTCACCATTTTCTATTTTTGATTTCGCGCATGCGCGTTGTTTGCTTTTGACTTTGTAGACTGCACCGTCTGTCAGAAAAAAAAGCACCATGACGCAATACACTCCGCGAGAAATTTGAAAACCACATGCTGTACTGCTTGGCATTCGTGTCATAAGCTCCAATACGAACATTACAGAATGTTTGGATATCAATCTGAGGACAGTGCAGAGGATTCAGAAATAGTTGGATGAGCCTAATGGAAGGTGTTTGGGGTGGTCACTAGTGATGGCGAGGTTCATGCCTCCATTAATCTTCCCACATGGTCTCAGACTCAACACGGCGACCTACATCAAATGCCTTGAAGAGATAGTGCTTCCCTGAGTCAAGAGGGTGGTTGTTAGAAGGTCCTATGTCTGGCAACAGGATTCTGCACCATGCCACACTCATGGATGTCAAACAATTTCTACGACCACATCACCCCTTGCATCTGGCCACCTAACTCCCCAGACTTCACTCCCTTAATTATTATGTGTGGGGTGCAGTTGAGCGAGAGATCAACAAAATTCTTTGTAACGCCAAAAATGAACTAAAGGCAAGGATTATGGCAACATTCACCATCTTAAACAAAGAGACCGCCCAGAAAAGATGCAAGAGACTCTGAAGTCATTTGGAGGCCGTGGTTGAAGCCACTGGCAATTTTATTGAATAAAATTTGCTCTTTACTATTTCAAGATATTTTTGTGTAATTTTGATAAATATATTTAAAATGAGAAGTCAGTGTTATTTTCATTTTTGCCTCATTTAGGTGACAATTTATCCATCGCACGCTATATATTTGTATCTATAATTCTCAAAAGGTGTGTGTCTATGTATGTACTGTACTGTACTGATGCGGCATTCACCCTGGGCGGATTGAGCCGGCTTCTTCCTGTTATGAGAAGAAGATTCTTGGGATAAATTACAGAAGTAGGGTACCCAGGCCTACTCGGATAACGTTCTTGCTTGCCGCGGGGTTCCCACAGACGCAGAGACAGGAACGACCAGAAGCCGCCGGTTACCGATGCAGACGCTCCTTGATTTTCACCAGAGTCCTTGTTAGCCGGCGTGTGTGTCAGACCTGTCCACCTTGGTGGCCCTACCAGGAACGAAGTTCCGGGCGGCATAGCTCTGACACTACCGTCTGTGAGGTAAGGGTTGACTTTGGGGCTTACAGTACCAGGTGTTCCCAAGCGGTCCCCATCTAAGTACTGACCTGGCTCTACAATGCTTAACTTCGGTGATCGAACGAGAACCGGTGTTTCAGCGTGATTTGACCGTAAGCATGTATGTGTATGTATGTGTGTGTGTGTGTGTCTATATGTGTGTGTGTGTCTATGTGTGTGTGTGTGTGTGTGTGATCGGATGTTGTTTATACGTTTCCACAGTTTTCATCCGATTTCGATGATTTTTAATTGTTTGATAGATAATTCTTCAGTATTGGTTTTGAGTCCAAATTGTTGGCGACAATGGCTCTCCACTTCTTCCTACCCATTATATCTATCAGGAACATTTTACTATTTACTATCTGTTCTTGGACATATCTAACACTTTCGCCCCAGCCCCTCAACCTCCAACGTCTTACTCTCGGGGTTGAGGTGTCTACTCGGTCCTAACCGAACTTAAGGGAGTTGCTGTAGGTCCCCTGAGCATCCGTAGATTATTCGACCGGTCCACTGGTTTAATCCTGCTTCCTTCCCACGTTGTGATTTGTTTGATCCAGAAAGCAGAAGTGATGTTCATCCATTCACGGTCGACTGGAAATCTAGACACGGCTGGGGAGTCTGCGCTAAGAAATTTAGAATGCAGCAAAAAAAAAATAATATCTGCAGAAAGCCGGACAAACAACTATTCAATGGTTGAATTGTTAATGTCTTTTTTATAAGAATAGTAGAGAAAAGAAACGGGTTACAGAAAAGAAAAGTATTTAACGTAAAAACTCATACACTTGATTCTAGACACAGAGAGAGAGTGTATGTGATTATCTTGTTGTTAAATCGTCTCAGAACGATATATGACTCTTGCGATGGAGAGATTAAGATTTCTATGCGGGGCTTAAAGTTATAGTGACGTTCCTCCTTCCAACGCTCGCCCGGGCCAATTCTCTCTTCTCTCTTCAAGAATTTTCTCGCGCCTGTCTTTTTCAGCATAACTACGCGTTTATATAGATAAACCCGGCTGATTATAACTGATCCTCGGCCCTACTACTTCGCACGAGATTATCACGGGGTTCTGGCTACTTCAACCAAAATCATGTAAATTCCAATGTTCCTTCTAGCTTACTCAGCTGTATTTCAATTTTTAATCGATAAAAATTATTTCGACCATTTCCATTGTCTTCTGATGATCAGATTCAATGGGTACAACTTCTGCCCTAGAACAGATTTCCCTATCAGTAAAAAAAAAATGCTCTGATTTAATTTCACTATTCAAATCTACTCCAATTTCAGTAAAAAAAAATATACGTGTGTGTGTGTGTTTCCCAGACTCTCTCTCTCTCTCTCTCTCTCACACACACACACACACACACATATATCTTTCATAAAAACTTTAATAAAATAAATAGTTTAAATTATTACAATAATATTAGAATAATAATAATAGTAGTAATAAGTATGCTTGCGTTTTTATTACTCAACATTTATTTTTCCAAACTTTCCTAAAGTTATTCGAGCTTAGTGATCCCTGTAGCTTTACAGCGTTCTCTTCTGGTATTTGCCCATTCATTCCATTTGACAATTCATACTTGCCTAAGACATGCCACCAAAGAAAAGAACTTGCCTAGGTCGCAAAACCGCTGCCGCCAGGTCTGCCATGCAAATAAGAGATAACGAATCGTCTTTAGAATGTTCAGTTTGCCTGTCTCAAAATACCTCTCGGAATACTTCAATTAGAGCCACTGAGTCCGAAGATCAAACATCGGCTTTCCAGAAGAGCATACCTGAACGCTTCTGCGCGTGAGGCTGAAAATAATGATCAAAGGATTCAACGGCTGAAAAGAAACGCCTCTTCATCTGCTGCTGTGCGTGAGGCTGAAACAAGATTGAGAACGCAAAAACGTCCCTTTTCAAATTGTTAACTTCCCATTTAGGGATATGCCGCAGTTGCACCCAATTGTGGTTACTAATATTGATTTTCGGGTGGGCTGACTTTAAACTTAAACTGCTCCAATTGAACGGGAAAAATTCCCAGTAATTCCTGTTCAAAGATGGGTTATACTATATGATAGATTACGGAACAAACAGGAAACGTTTATAAATTTAACATTCAAATTAGCTTGTATTGGCTGAACATTAATTAAAATATGGATTCAGGACTTCATAGAGACGGTGCGGTGTAAATAAGATATTTTGGTGAAAGGGAAATATTCAAGCGGATGGGTCAGTGATCATAGCTAAGTTAGCGATAGAACGGTTAAAACCAGATAGATAGACAGATAGATAGATTTGAACAGATTGAAATAGATAGATAGATAGATAGATAGATATGAACAGACTAAGATAGATAGATAGATAGATAGATAGATAGATAGATAGATATGAATAGATTGAGATAGATAGATAGATATGAACAGATTGAGATAGATAGATAGATAGATAGATAGATAGAATAGATTGAGATAGATAGATGAGATAGATAAGATAGATTTGAATAGATAGATAGATAGATAGATAGATAGATAGATAGATAGATAGATTTGAACAGATTGATATAAATAGATAAGATAGATAGATAGATAGATTTGAACAGATTGAGATAGATAGATAGATAGATAGATGAATAGATAGATAGATAGATAGATGAGATAGATAGATAGATAGATAGATTAGATAGATAGATAGATAGATATGAACAGACTGAGATAGATAGATAGATAGATAGATAGATAGATAGATAGATAGATGAACTGAATTGAGATAGATAGATAGATAGATAGATAGATAGATAGATAGATAGATAGATAAAAGAGAGTGTGTGTGCGTGATGTATAAGCAGCTGCCTAGGACACAGGCAGAAATCAAAGGAAGAAAGATGGCTGTGCAGTCTCCCTATTTAGTTGTGTGCGTCCTGGTACACCAACCAGCCGAACGCTCTCTCCCCGTCTGTGTGTCCGTCACTGAACTGCGCCATCTGGTTTGTGTGAATCACCTGCACAGGTGTCGTACGTTTGGATGACTAATACAGACTTCGTATTCGGCCGACGTGGGAAAACAACCGGGACAATCACCGAAGACGGCGACCTACATTTTATCAATGACACTCGTCGCAGTTTGGGTCACATGGCAAACAGCTTTCACAAGGTTGCTCCTCCTTATTGCTTCTCTCTCTTTATCTCTCTCTCTCTCCTCTCTCTCTGAAATTATTTTCTTCGTACCCTCCCTCGTCGTCTCACCTTTCTCTCTTTCAATTTCCCGATTATGCCTCCTCTCTTTCATTGGTCCCACTACCACTTCTCCATCTTTCTTATTGAATTGTTAGACAATTGAATGACAAAGTTGAAAAAAAAATCCTGTGTAACGTGTTTCGACCTCCAAAAAAGACATCATCAGACTAAAGTAATGTTCTTCTTGATAGAATTATATATACATACGTAAAGGCACTGGTGAGATTTTGATTCATTTTCCATCGTTTTACAGGTTATTTAAAGCCAGAAAATATTTTTCTTTTAGATTGTGAGGATTTTCTTTTTTAAGATAATAATCATTTAGTCATACAAATTTTACTAATTAACCCATAGCTGGGGAGAAAAGGTTGATAAATACCTTTCCCAAGGGTATCTGTGCAATGTGAATATAATAAACACAACTGGAATTGGAACTCGGCTCTCCGGTTAACAATTGCAAGCCATTATCCATTACACCACCTACACATCCATGCTTACAGCACCTGGTATTCTCAAGCGGTCACCCATCTAGCTACTGATCAGGCTCGATGTTGCTTAAGTTTGATGATCCTACGGGAAGCGGTGTTTCAACGTGATGTGACCGTAAGCCCGATCTGCCTGACGACAGGTTACAAATGTAAATTTGTTTCTCGGTCACTATTTTTTTTTTTTTATTTTATAAAAAGAAATAAATTTGGCAACTCATATTAGGGGAAACTGAACCCCGAAAAATATTTCCCCTCCTCCCAACCATCAGTAAATGTGATTTGAAGTAGTTTTAGTTAGGTCACTCTCTGGGGTTGATGCCACTCACATTGGTAATAACCATGCGACTGGCCTGCTTGTGACTCGCGACACTTCTGCCTCTGCGTTTCTACCAGTGGGCTTCCTCTGGAGTTGACGCCTCTCCACTGGAGTTGATGGCATTCACCTTGATAATGCGGATTGACTTGCTTCTGGTCCGCTACACCTCGCCCTCAGCGTGTAATGACCCTTTGTCTTACTGAGTTTGAGATCCCAAAAGTATTTCAAACGGTCTGAGACGGCGAAGAATATTATTGGACATCGATTTTTATTTTGACAGACTGTATGTTATTCATTGAAAATTAGAAAGAAAGAGGTTGCAAATTTTCAGCGTATAGTGCAGTTTTACTGGCATACCAAGGCTATTATATCTAATGTAAATCTATTGCTAATGTTTTTACTATAAAAATGGATTGACGGATAACAACAAAAATTTGTCAATTGTCATGAATCAAGGAAAGGTATTACTGAGAAGAATGACACCCTCTATATATAAAGTTGCAGCCTCTGTCTGTTTGTTTGTTATCAAACTCCTCCTAGGGTTTTGGTGAGACCCCCATGACCACATATATTCTGAAACTAGATTATCCAGGGTACTGGTATGAGTATATTTCATTTTGAGGGTTGTGCCCCCTAAAAAGTAGGGGGCACAACCCTCCACACACACACACACACACACACACACACACACACACACACACACACACCACCACCACCACCACCACCCACTGAATTTTTTTTCCTTTGATATAAATTGAATTCAAATTTGAACGAGGAAATGACTCCTAGGTTACTTGGATAAGTATATTTAATTTTGATCAAAGTGGGTCCCGGGGAGCACTCCCCACTGATTTTTTCCCTTTGATTTAAATTAAATTTAGATTTGAACAAAGGAATGACTCCTATACAAAATATAGAAGGAGAAAGCCAGAAGATGAAGGTCACATCGGCAAGATCAAAACGAGACAATATGGACGTCTGTTTTGCAAGAAATCACCAGCCAATGTCTTACAATACATATTTGTTGCGACAATTCAACTGCCATATCAATGCTGAAATCTGCTCATCAGTTTATTCAATCAAGTATTGCATCAGATACATATCAAAGGGGCCAGATCAAGCTGTTTTGTACCCCCACTGATTTTTTCCCTTGATTTAAATCAAATTTAAATTTGAACAAGTGAATGACTCCTATCCGAAATATAGAAGGAGAAAGTCAGAAGATGGAGGTCACATTGGCAAGGTCATTGAGTAATATTGAAATTCATCATTTTTTTTTCTACAAATTATAACAATTATCATTTTCTTACAAAAACAATGTGTAAGACGTAACAAGGCACGGGTAATTTGGCTAGAAGATAATGTAAATACACTGGTAATAACTTTCTTAAAAAATGCACTGAATATCAGAAAGAAAGTGGTTGTTAGCGATCAGGAATTAATATAAAACAGAGTTATTTTTTCTACCGTACAGACTTCATAAATATATTCGATCTTCGCTCGGTCATATGAAATCTCAATTGTTCAGTAAATGGAGATTTGAAAACGAGGAAGTAAAAGCGAGTTTTGTTCGAGTTCCTTTCTTTCATTTTTCATTTCAGCTCGTGAATCAATCTTTAAAATATAAAGCCTGTATAAATAGCTGCAACCTGTTTAAATTGGCAACGTGCTTATGTGTAAATATGTGCGATGAGTCCCGGTTTACTTGCTGTTCACAAACTAAATGCTCAAATGTCGGTCTAACCTTGGCAAAGATAAGTAAGTGCTGAATTACATTACAGGACAGAAAATGTCATGTCAAGATAGATAGATAGGTAGGTAGGGCTATCAATCATATATATATAAGGGTGTTTTCATTAAGATGAATTATATATAAGGGTGTTTCATTAAGACGGATCAAAGTCAGCAGTAAATAACTCAGTGTTATTAGTGAAAATTTATTTATTTCTCTATTGGATCATGTTATTTAAGTCAGGGCAATTATGTGTGAAAAATAATATCGCCCAAATGTCCGCCAAATCTGAAAGAAAAAAGAAAAAAATCATTAGACGCTTAAACTTAATTTACATTTAAAATCGGTCCAAGTTATTGGAACAACCTTATATATATATATATATATATATATGTGTGTGTGTGTGTGTGTGTGTGTGTGTGTGTGTGTGTGTGTGTGAGAGAGAGAGGAGGCACGGTGGAGTAGTGGGTAATTTGGAGCCGAGTTCGAATTCCACACGAATGTAATATAAATTGAACTGTACCACATAGTTGATATATATATATATATATATATATATATATATATATATATATATATTTCTTTTTTTTCAATGTGTCGCGTCCCTTTAGAACATGGTCAATCATGGCTCTCCAAAAATTTCTATTCTTTGGGATTCTTAGTTGTCTTAGAATGAATTACATATCAGTGAAACTCAATTGTACCTTTATTTTTATGGCCTTTTTCCGCTGGGAAAATTCCCTGGAACTTGTCAATACTAAAACGTTTTAGTATTGACGAGTTCCAATGAATTTATCCTCGGAGCGAAAATATAAAAAATGGGGTACAATTGAGTTTCACTGATATGTAATTCATTTTTATACTCTATAATGAATATTTTATATTAATAGGTATCACTATTACGAATTTTACCTATATATATACGTGTGTGTGTGTGTGTGTGTGTGTGTGTGTGTGTGTGTGTGTGTATTTTCAGGTACATTAAATAGTTTGCGTTCTCGTGATGATGATTCAAAACTGTATACTAAAATTTGTTTATTTCATTTTTTAGATTTGTACCCTTATATTATATTTATAATCCGCGTTCTAGTTTAGGCTCATCGGTATCATATGTTAAAAAAAAAACAAGAGTTACCCCCCTTGATATATTGTTGAATTTGGAACCCAAATTCAAATGAAATTTAAATGATTTAAAAAAAAATTATTATTTACTTTTTAATTCTTCGCCTTTCGAACTTGTGAATTTGAATGATATAAATTATCAATGGTTATTTTTAATATTTTACGTAACAATAATTAAATAAACAAGTTTTAACACAATTTTGAATCATCACGTGAACGCAAACTATCAGATTATCTCCGTACCTGAAGATTGCATAAACTGCATGAAACCCCGAGTCGTGTTATTGACGTTGGATATATTGTATATTCACTAATATATACATATATATGTACATTTTTATCCTGCCCATTCCTATACACACACACACACACACACACACACACACACATATATATATATATATATATATATATATAATCCTAGTGAGCCAGAAATTACCTACCTAGGTTTCACCTAAATAGATCTTCAAGGTAAACTGAATATATATATATATATATATATATATATATATATATATATATATATGTGTGTGTGTGTGTGTGTGTGTGTGTGTGTGTGTGTGTGTGTGTGTGTGAAAATATCTTTTGAAAATTAAACGTTTGGGAACATAATTCATTGATAAATTTCATTATAAAATAAACCTTCATTTTATTCCAATTTTGCACAAAAAAGTTTTCAAAACCGGTTATTTTTGCCGCAAGACTAGTTTCATTGAAAGCCACAAAGCGGTGCTGACTAATTCAAAAATTGCTCCTTTTCTTTGGTGTGGGTGGAAAGTGTTTCTCATAGCCTCGCGCCAATTAAAATTCAAGTTGGGTGACTTTTTTTAACATCACCGTAGTTTTCGGTTAGCCGCATCGAATTTCTTCCAGCGAAGAAAAGATAAGCTGGCGTCAGAATTCTCTCAATTTCTTAAAGTAAAATCCATCGTAATCCTATTTACTTCTGTCTTAATAGTAAATCTAATAGGTTCGATAAAATCAACTGATATCAAAAATGACCTTCAATCCGTTGTTAACTGGGGCAAGAAGTGGCCAGTTAATTTTAATGCCTCTAAAACGAAACTGCGCTCTCTCTCTCTCTCTCTCTCTCTCTCTCTCTCTCTCTCTCTCTCTCTCCTTTTTTTTATCGCGTGACCCGTAGAGTCGTAGGGACATCATGTATACTGCAGCCACAGTAGGAGTGGACCTTCTTGGGCCAGATAGCCTGACGGAGCCCAACCCTCTCCAGGCCGATTTTGAATTCAGAGTTTTTCCTTTTTCTAGACTGGTTGCCACCCAAGGTTATAGAACCCTGCTATTTACCCATAGCTGGGGTGGCGAGAAGAGGATTCATACATTTCCCAAGGGTATTAGTACGTAAATGAATGGATCCGACGGGAATTCGAACTCGGCTCTCCGATTCCTCAGTCCGAGCCGCTATCCATTACTCCACTGTACCTCTTAAATAACCTTTTTATTTATCTTCCATCAGCATGGCTGATGCTAACCCTAAGAAGATATGAAGTGGAATGATTATATTAAATCCATTGCTAGGTTGTTTTTGTTTCATTTACAGTAAGCTTCACCCAGTACAAGGTCTGGGAGCCACTCGAAGTAGAGAGTTACGTTAAGGGGTAGTTTATAGAGATAGGATGTGCAATGTGATTGGCAACTCGTCTACAGTCACTTTCTCACAGACGTACCGTTGTTTCCCTGTGTCTTTTCTACGAGTATTTTCATAGCAACTGCTCTAACGAGCTACTTTAACTGGTCCATAAACTGCATGAATTTAAGCGTGCTACTAGGTTGGCATCTCGGTCCCACCCCTTTCATTGTCAAAACGGCTAAATGTAGCCATCTCTTCTACTCCAACAGCTTCTTATCTTGCACCTCCCATCAGTGGAACTCCCTTCCTATCACTTGCTTCCCTGATAGTTATAATCTTCAAATATTCAAATATAATGTCA